AATTTGAACTCTCAAACAGTTCATTGTATCCTAAATAGTACTTATGAACATCACAGAGACCAACAGACTTAACATCTCTAATACTACTTGAGCCAGGACAGAAAGTTTTAACCCTCAATATGTGTAAGATGACAAGAGAAAGCAGCATGCATTTCAGTGTTTTCCTCCTGTTCAGACTACTGTCTAGCAGCTGTTTCACGTAGCCTGTAAGTGCAATTCCTCATGAAACTGCATCATTCCTGATGCCCCAAAACAAAGAGGTATTATTTCACATGCAGAGATATGCAGGCTCAAGGAAGAGTTTCACCCTTGAAAGAAAAACAAACAGTCAGAAATCCACATGTATCAAAGGATTCCAGATTGAAAGGATTTAGTTTGAAAATAAACACACACACACACACAAAAAACTTGCTTTCACCAAGGGCAAAGTCCATGCCAAGTATGACGTTTTAGACATTATAAGGAAAATTTCCTTAAAAAATGACACATAAAAGGCTTTCATTCAAAAGATATTTTCCAGAAAGTCACATAAATATCTGACAGTTTGGTCTCAGAGCCAACATGAGCTCTCACTTTTACTGTATAGTAGAAGTGCATTATAACACCCAACGCATTTCAGAAGCACAGAGTAACGCACAGATACAATGAGACCAAAGTACATTATAATCATGCTATCCTGTTTTGTTAGGGCTATAATTTGGAGCCTGATCCTGCAAAGTGCTGGGCAATGGGGAATTATGGGTGCTTAGCACTGCCGAGTCTTTGCCACAGGCTGGAAACAGAGTTGAAACCTGGCTAGGTGCCATGTGCACAAAACCCAAGAATGCCACCTGTGATGCTGTGGATTAACACCATACACTCAGCTCCCTACACAAGGGAAGCAATATAGCCAGTCCCTGCCAGCACCATACTTCCTACTCAAAAAGAGCCATACACCCAATCCCCATCAGGGTTTTTTTTGGGGGTAATTCAGTATATGTAGCTGGGCCCCCTACTCACTATGGCAAACTCACTTTACCTCCTTCGCCTTCTGAAGCCTGTTACCCCTGCAGAGCTACAGCCAGCCTCCAAAGGCAAAAAGAGGAGAAAAAAAGACTGCCCTCTGATAAAAATACCAACCCATCCAGCAGGCTTCAACACAAGCCGCTGCTTAGCTTTACTCACCTGCCAGCAGGACAAGGAGCAGCAGGAGGGGACAGGGCAAGTAGAAACAGGGCTTGAAAGACCCAGTGCTCGATGGGAGCAGGGCGCTGCCAGCAACCACCCTGCACCGAGGCAAAGCAGAGGCCCCCTGCCCCAGAGGCGGCGACGGGTACAAGGCACTGGGCCCAACACAAGTAGTGGCCCAGCCTGGGCCGCTAGCACCCCCGTTCCACGGCCCAGCCCGGTGCAGGCTCCCCCTGCCCGTTACTCTCGGTGGCAGTGAGGGGGCCCGGGCAGCGGCTACTCCGTCAGGGCCCGGGACTGGATTTCGAAAGATCCGCCATTTTCACCTCGTCACCGCCGCCACCGCCCCGCCCCGGGCCTGGGGGCGGAGAGGGAGCCCCCCCCGGCGGGCGGCGGCACAACAGCCCCCGCGCGCCCCCCCATGACCTTGATGAGGGTCGCAGGAAGAGAGTTGGGGCGAGAAAGAGAGTGAGTGTCCCCACAACCGCCCGCCGTCGGGGGAGCGCAAGAGAGGAGCCGCCGCGGGGTGTCCCGGCACGG